GATTGGAATGGAGTTGTTAGATAGCTATTGACTACCTCAAATGTGAACTGGCCCTTTGTATGAGTTTTAATTCTGCCGGAGACCATATCTCATCTATTAATTCATTTTGATTGAAGAACCGGACACACGCCAAGATAAAAACGCTGTTTTCAGGTGTAGGACTAGTAAATACTAGTCCGAGAAGATGCGCGAAATCAAGCGTGGATATTAGGAGGCAATTTGATTCGGACACAATGGGCTATATTTAATAGGCTAAAAGAAGACGTGGAAAGATGAAGCGCGACAGGAGCAAAGGTGTAACGTGACAATTTGCAGGGCAGTCAAAATGCGAGCCCCTTATAAGAAAGATTAAAACAAGCAAGAATACTGTACAGTTGGTCGGCAATGAAATTGTACCTAAAAGATTGTAGTTATCTTTCTGGGCGCTACAGAGTGCATCCTCTAGAAGGCTAAACATAGGTAGCCTTTGATTTCGAAAATGACGGGTATATCGAGGTTCGTAGGGCAACAGCTTGCCAAGTAAGAATGAACAATGAACAATGATTTATAACGGGTAAAAAAGCATATGCTTGACAGGTCCCGTAGGGTGGTTGGAGCAATAGATAAAATGGAAGGATAATCGAACAAGTAAATCGTTTTTTTAAGCCTCTACAGATTTCAACGCACCACTTCATAATGATAGTTTGAAGTATGGACTGGATGTCTGCACCCAAAGTAGAGCTGTTATATTACAGCAAATGTGGGAAAAAGAAATCAAAGGAACGGATAACGCTCACTCGTGTGTTGCTTCCGTTGAGAGATGTGGTACGTTACTCCAGTTTGTATACATCCATGTCGCTCATTGGGACACTTCTGTATGTAACATCACCGCCACTTTGCGGGGAGGGTCAGTAACCTCATGGTTTGGGTCTCGTTATTTCGTCCTCCGAATAGGACGTGCTATGCCAAATAATGCAAGTTGGAAAGTGTGTCATCTAGGCGTTTTTTAAATAGTGCCAATGTGGGGGCAAGGACGACGTGAGTGGGGAGCGCATTCCAAGCACGGGACACACGGAGTGAGAAAGAGTTTCGTCGACAATCAAGTCGGCTGTAGTGTGTAGCCAGTTTGAGCTGATGACCTCTCAGGTTGGTATTTTGGCTCAGCTGCAAGAGACTGCGACATGGGTGATTTGGATTCATCAGTATTAAGTAGACCATGATGAGGTCTCCTCGGTGACGACGATATTCACCACTGTACAATCCCAGAGACTGCAGTCTGCGTTGGTAGGGGATGTGAAACAGGCCTCTGACGAGCTTCGTTGCTCTACGCTGTGGAGCTTCAAGTGCACTGATGTCGCGCTTGCGCCAGGGACGCCAGGCCTGGATCGCATACTCCACGTGGGGTCTCACGTAAGCGCTCAGCATTTGCGGAAATACAGATGGCTCGAAATTTCCGAAAGCCCTCCGTAAGAGTCCGAGATGTTGACTGGCCCCTTTCGATGCCTTTTCAGCTTGTCTGGAGCAGCCAAGGTCGTCCTGCACGACCACTCCGAGGTCGCATTCCTGGGAAGCATGTTGCAACGGCTGGTCCCCAAGTAAGTATTCATGGATGAGCTGGTGGCGTAAGCTCACGACTTTGCACTTGGCGACATTGAAGTGGAGCATGTTTTCGGATGACCAAGTGTACGCCCTGTCCAGATCGCTCTGCAGTGTTGTGTGATCGTCCTCTGTCCGGATGTCATGCCAAATTTTGACATCATCTGCAAACAGCAAGAAGTTCGACTGTAGTACACTGGCAAGGTCGTTAATGAATGTTAAAAATAAACGTGGCCCCAGTACTGACCCTTGTGGCACACCGCACTGGACGTCAATTGGGTCGGACATGGAGCTGCGGACTCTCACATTCAGCTGACGTTGAGTGAGAAAGTTGGCGATCCAACCAAGCACAGGGTCACCGATTCCGTAGCCTCGAAGCTTGTGTAGGAGGATGCGGTGGTCCAAACGATCGAACGCCTTCGAGAAGTCCAGGTAGACAACGTCGACTCCAAATCTAGCATCAGCTGACTCCGTCCAGCTTGCTCGGGCCAGCAGCAAGTTTGTAGTGCAGGATCGATTTCGGCGGAATCCGTGTTGCTGTGGCACTATGATATTGTTGTTCTCCAGATATCCCATCAGCGCCTCCGCAATTATACGTTCCATTACTTTGGATAAAACTGGGAGGAGAGTGATTGGACGGTAGTTCGACGGCTCCGCACGATTACCGCTTTTGTAAATGGGAGTGACTAGCCCATCTTTCCACATTGTGGGAATCAGCATTTCGTCAAGACAACGTTGAAAGGACCGAGCTAATGGTTCGGCAATGTTTAGGGCCATTGCCTTCAACGCCTTCGGTTTAATATCGTCTACACCTGGCGAGCTGTGCACACGCAACGACATTAGCGTTTTCAACACATTGGTTGCCGTGAACGATACGTTGTGTAAACCTGGGAACGGTGAGAGCTCTGTCAAAATCGGGTGAAGGGATGGTTCACTCCGGAAAGTATGGAGGAAGTGTTGACGAAACACGTTGGCCGCGTCCTGTGCAGTTTGCGCATGACCATCTGTTGCACGCAAGACCGGGATCCCGCGCTGCACTCTACGGAGTTTGTTGATATGTCTATACAACAGCTTTGGATTTTTGCTGAATTTCGCCGCTAAGTTCTGTTGGTGCTGGAGTTTGTCTTCGCGAATCAACTTGACGCAGTGGTTTCGTTGAGTTGTGTAGACTCCCCAGGTCAGATTACTTGAGCAAACTTTGTAAGCGTGCCAGGCCGAATCCCTTAAGGCCATAGATTTTCTCGTACGGCTTCTTAGGAACGAATCCACTTGCTTCGGGTGAAAGGCCTTGCGTTCTGATGCATTTGCCACTAGCTCAGTGAATTTGGTGACAAACACCATCCAAACCTCATCGGGCGGATTCTCGGTCAGGAAGGACCAGTTGGTGTCTTGAACAAGGTTAGACAAGATGTCGTAATGTGTAACCATATAAGTTTCCTCGTCGTTCTCTCTAACGTACTCCGAATAACAGATGTAACGAAAGTGCAACGTCGCGTGATCACTACGACCTAGTGGTATAGCTATGGTAACGGTGTCAATCATTAGTTCCTCGTTGGTGAGTACAAGGTCCAAGACAGAGGGGGTGTCACCCGTTCTGAAACGAGTGGGGGAGGTGACATTGGTATACAGTGGTACATCGGTAATAAGTTCTTGCAAATCAGCCTTGAACTGTTCGCTGGGCGATGCTGGAACTTCGAGTGCGTGCAGATTGAAATCCCCCACCAGAAGAACGTGACTGTGTGGACGTGTCAATACTCGTTTCATCGCAGCAGCAAGGCCTTGATCCATTTCCAAGGTAGACATTGGAGGACGGTAAACTATTGCTAGCAAACACACATCGCCACGTCTCAGGTGCATACGATACCAAAGAGGATCGTTGATGTTTGCTTCTGAGTCATCAATGATCTCAACATGTAGGTCGGATCGATAATACAAAAGCACTCCGCCTCCTCTGCTAGGCCGATCTTTTCGTAAGGAACTCATGCCAGGTAGCGCAATCTCGGCATCCGCGATTTCCGTGCTCAGCCAGGTTTCGGTGACCATAACTAGGTCTCAGGGCGTGGAGACCTGGCGAAATCGAAGTTCGGTTAGCTTGCTGAGAAGACCTTGTGCATTAGTATAGAAGCAGGTGAGGGCATCGGTGGTTAGAAGAGTGTTTGTAGATTCTGGTTTTCGGTTGGAGTTTACGCCGACCCTTGTGGGGTCGGCTGCCGGTAGTTTATTTGTAGGACCGATGCTGCAGACCCTAGGGCCAGTTCAGGTCGTTGTATTGAGCTCTCAGCGCCAACAAGTGGGTGACCAACTTGTACCCCTTCAGCCGGCAGCGTGTTTTGGCATTGTCTCTGGTCTGAGCTACATGGCGGCAGAATTGTATTGGTACGTTGCTTGCTCAGTGTGACATGGCCTGTTGGTGGTTCAGTGCCCATCGTCTTTATACGTGTTTCGGATGGTAGCATTTGACACATTTTGCGCCACGTATTGATCACATATTCTACCATGATTTCGGAATGCAACGATATTTTCATCACTCGGGGACCACATCCTTTGTAGTTAGGTGAGAGTGGTAACCTTGATGTCGAAGTAGCAATAACGTTTTCGAGTGAGAGCAGTTCGCGAATAAAACGCCATTCATCCCAGTCATGCGATTTGGCCTCTAGATCGCTTGAGGACTTGAGCTCGGGGACACCGTGAACAAGAACAGATTTGGCGTCTTGTCGTTTACGGAAGTCGTCCGGATTTTGTTTGCGTTTTTGACGTTCGCTCCAAGGAACATCTGGAAAGATTCGAACTGTGCATGATGTGGTACGGAGGCGAGTAGCTGACAAGAGAACTTCCTCTGCATCATTAGCTGATTGTAGTGTTACCTGGAGTAAACGTGGATCACCATAGTGTATGGAGTTTGGGTGACGGACGAGACGCATCATACTGACTGGTTTAACTTGAACCTCCATCAGTTGACACAGGGAGTCCCACTGTTTTTTGTCGTCCAATATCTTATCTTTTATAGAGTTCGCCCCAGATTCAGTCACATTGGAGCACATAACTGTCAAGGGATGATGGTGTTTTTTAATGTCCACCTTCTTGTGAGGACCAGTAACTGGTTTCTTCGCTTGGGCAGATGATGAGGTCTTGAGTCCCGTGGTGGTAACGGTAGTATTAACTTGTTTGGCAGCGGGTTGCGTAACGATGAAAGGGGCCTCAGCCGTATGCGTAGTGACAACGGACGCGTATGTTGTCGTCTTTTTAACAGCGTTGAGCGTGGTGGGTGGTTCTGGTGTCGAGTGTGCGGTGAACGCGTCTTTATGAGCAGCCGCTACTGTCGCGGTGACTAACACTGGAACATTGTTCTTACACCGTTCTGGATTGGAGCATGATGTTGAGCATGGATCTTTATGTACAGAGTTATCTGGCTCATATGGGACAGCTTTCACTGCTGTTGCTTGCTCTACAATCTTTGACAATCTATCGCACTTCTGTGCCAGCACAGTTATACATCTGACGAGTGGAAGAGATGAACACTCAATGCAGAACCAGAGAGAATCGGTCGTATCATGGAGTTTTTTTATCTGGCTGGTACTAAGGCGAGCACACCGAGGATGAAAGTATTTTCGACAGCTACTGCATTCAATACCAAACCGCACAAGTTTTACACAGTTGCCAACGCCGCAACTAACGTTCATCTCGGTAGCTTTAGGCTTCGCTTTCCGCGGGTAAGAGGTACGTGCCATTGTAGAACCAATCTAAGATGGCGGACACCGCCTGTAGTTGGGTGATCAGTGAGATCTCCGAAAGTAGCGAGGGGATATTCACCAAATTCGCACAGATAAAACAATACACCAAAAGAACTGTATTGGTGTAAAATTCACACACAGAAAACACGTATAACACAGTATTCCAAAAGAAAATTGCACATCCAGCACGGCTTAGCAAAATTCCGCGGCGTCCGTGGGTTACAGCTGTTGCTTCGGAGTGAGCGTGCGTATCAAATGGGGTTCTCCGTAAGTCGCAGTGCGTCGTGCCGTTAAATAACTATAAATAAACCGCCAGCTGTACGTCCTAACGGTGCGTCGCTGGTACGCGACCACCACCAGTCACGCGTGGGCTGAGTATACCGCGCTGACGCCCGCCCCTACGCGGATTCGGACCGGTGACCTTATGCTTGCAAACCAGGCGCGCATACCACTCAGCCACCGATTGTTTACTATTTATTGTTTGTAGGGCAGGGCGCATTTCGACGAACTGTTGGAGCGGGGTTGTCGGACTTCAAATGAAACTGGCTAGCCCACAAAAATGGCCGACAGAACCTCAAGAATCACCGCTGCCAAACGGTGCGCTTGGGAGTGGACTCTCCCTCTGCCACACCTCACGTTGCTCATGAGAGCCAGTCGATCGAAGGAAAAGGTTGGAGCTTTTAGAACGGAAAATGCAGAAAACACGCAGGAGAATGCAACAAGAACGAACGAGTGCTCTGCCTGCTAAAATATGT